GAAAATGATTTCACATACTCCCTGATAGAGCTCGTGTGTTTCAGGTCTCGAAGTGCCCGTCGAGCCTGATACTCGACATTTTCCGAGAAAAACTGCTATCTGATCGCTTCCTTGAGAAGATCCTAAGAATCTATTCGAATCTTGTTGGCTTGAATGTCACCATATTTTGTTCGCCACCATAGTTTTGCATCTCCACCCAGATACATGGTTCAATCAAAGCTGCGAGAAAGTACTGTTTCATGTCAAACAAGAAGTTTTCGACTTCTTTTGCATCACGTGCCCCTCCGTAGGTACACGGTTTAGGAATTCTGAGTTTAGGAGCATACTCAAGTACGAGAGCTTTTCCATTGTTCACCGCACGTTGGAGTACCCGCAATTGAGCTCTCAACGCTTCTATTTCATCCTGCAGATCAGGAATGATTGCAGCAGCTTCAGTCATTGCTGCACAAGCCCTTTAGCTTTCATCCAGTTGGATGTGTAATCCACGGATCTCAGATTCGACCATCTCGACTTTTTTCTCGAGACCTTCCAAGGCATAGCNTTCACTTTGTATGCTACTAGAATTAGTAAAAAAATGGGTAGACGCCCCTTGAAGCATAATCCAGTGATGCAAATGATATGAGTAAAGTAGTTTTAATTTTGTTGACAGTCACATTGTGAGGGTTCGATTCGTGAAATATGAAATTGGACTCTTTGTAAACGTTAGTATACGGATAAACTCTTGTTCCCTGGTCTATTGGGACACATCTTGAGATTTACTTCATTCGCGATGTTCCAAAAATGAGGTGATAGTGATTCTCAAAGTTGGAGTTCAACTTTTTTAGAAAATGGGTAGACAATAACTTCTTGCAGTTGTCGTACTTAGGTAGGCACATATGTAATCATCTGAAACTGACGAAATCGTAGAAAGCGGTGGCAGTGTTTGGCAGCATACTGTAAATACAAAATGTACCAGATACTTTCTCTGTCACAGCGTGAGATGGGGTTGTAAAATGTTAAATGCGAAGAATTTTTTTCAATGATACCTTTCAACCCTGTAAATTAATACACGGAGTCCACAACTACAGCTAGAGAGAATAACATGCAAATCCTCAATGTTTTTGAAATTTCATCCCTATGTTAGAAATAATGTCTTAAAAAATGAATTATCTCTATATTTATTATATTAAAACATTGAGCCCCCCTTTGGAATAATGGATGAAATAGTATTTTTTTTAAAAATATGTGGTTAAAAAAGAAGGAAATTTTTTCGATTTACGTGTAATATTATTTTATAAAAAATTGTGAGATTGAAAAGAGGAGAAAAAAATAAAATTTAATTTAAAGAGAGCATAACGGGGGCTAAGTAAGAACAACAGGAACAATAAAATAGTAGACACTCGCGTACCAATGGAGAAAAAAACTTTCAAACAATTTCATTATTTCAAAAGAAATTATCTACCATTAGAATTTAAATCATAAGTATAATGCCCGTCGTTAAATAATAATTATATCATAGTTAAAACAAGAATCTAGTATGAAATAAGTAGAGTTCCACCTGTTATATATATCTTTTGCGAGGTAAGTTTTCATCTACACATACACTTGCAAATGCTTCTTGGCGAGGAGGAGAAACAAAAATAAGAACAATAGCATGTTTCGTTTTTTGTGAGGCATGATACAATATATTCAAGGTCATCTTGCACAATTAAATTTAAAATATGACAAATATATGCACTTGAAAAAGCTTTTAAAATCAAAATCAAGATTGCGTTGATTAATAAATTTTTCTATAACATTTATGTTAACAATAATGTTATCAAAAGAAAAACTATAAACCTTGGATTCGTAATAAAATTCACACAGGACGCACATTAAAATATTGTTACTGTTTATAATTTAAAAATTGATTATAAACACCTTCAGAACAAATGAATTTGAACAAAAATGACCTTTACGCTCATATGTCAAAAGTTAAGGATTAAAATGAAATATAAATAAATTACTTTGGGGGGACCTCCATAGCAATTAACCCCATTCAGAAATTAGGTGCATTTTTTGTTACTGTTTATAATTTAAAAATTGATTATAAACACCTTCAGAACAAATGAATTTGAACAAAAATGACCTTTACGCTCATATGTCAAAAGTTAAGGATTAAAATGAAATATAAATAAATTACTTTGGGGGGACCTCCATAGCAATTAACCCCATTCAGAAATTAGGTGCATTTTTTTATTTATTTTAATATTCAAAATGACGCATAATTGGTGACATAAAGTACTAGTTTCCTTTTTCAATTATTCTCTGGCACAAAGAGAGTCCCTCACTCCACCATTAATTTATAAAGAATTTCTTAATTCTACGTTTCATAATTTAATTATTTTAATCGTCAAATTCTTATTCCGTTCATAAAATCGGATCGATCTAACTCAATTCAGTGAAACTGCTGCGAATTTTGAAGGAAAAA